CTGTCTCAGCGCAAAGGTATGCCTGAGAGACTACAAGCTGCTGTTAACTATGTTCTCCCGCTGACGTTCAGGTGTCGCTCTCAGGATGAGTGCTTGGCGCACTAAACAGGTCTAAATCACTCTCGCGGCAGAGACCACACGGAGGTTCTCTAACTGCCGAATTCTTTCTGGAATGGAACCCTCAACCAGTGGCGACGCAGGGCGTCGGGAACTGGCAACACGATACGCTTAATGTCTTGAGCAGAGGGGAGTTTTCCGTTGGTGCCCCCGCCAAGCAAATCAGAGCAACCGGCAACGGTAATGATATACCAGTCAGATCTCCTGCATTCTCGTCTGTTGACTTCTCGCGAGCCGACGCCAGATGGTAATAAGAATATAAGCAGGTTGTCTGGCTGTGTCTGGCGAGGGCGAGGATGGTGATCTCAAACAGTGGTGGTTCTACTCAGACAACACGCGGCTTCATTTAGACAACAATCACAACTTTTGTCTGTTTGACGTACCGGCCTGTCTGTCATCTTTCTGCAAGCGAAATGAACTATTTATAAACACTCAGGATCAGGTGTGTGTGCACCACAGCCTGACCCTAGCTGTAGGGTAGTTGTGTGCACCACAGCCTGACCCCACCTGTAGGGTAGCTGTGTGCACCACAGCCTGACCCCAGCTGTAGGGCAGCCAGCCACTTACCCAAATTGTTGACAGATTCTTCTTCTTTAACTTTACTTACTTCCTCCTCCTTCTTCTCCTCCCCCACCTCCACCTCATCAGCAGCATCATCATCATCTTATTCTTTCTTCTTCGCGTTTAGTGGCTGTAAACTCCTGCAGAAATGTATGGTTGTTTGTCTACCTCTGGACTTAAGTCTTGTTCCAGAATTTGAGCGTTGAGTGCACATCAGTTTAACATATCTGATTTAATTTCGTGCAGACTGTTGTTTCCTTGCCTCTCAGGCAGATGCACTCCGACTTCGAACGAAGCTCCCAATTAATCGACTTTACGACATGCTTGTTGGGTAGACAGTGGGTTTATTCTTGTTTTCTCCACAATGGGGCCCCAGAACCCACAAGGAGAATTATCATCTTTTTCTTATTCTGCCTCTTCTTCTTTCTCCTCTGCTTTTCTTCTTCAATCTTCTCTTCCTTCTCGTCTTCTTCTACATCTTTTCTTCTTCTTCTTCTTCTTCTTCTTCTTCTTCTTCTTCTTCTTCTTCTTCTTCTTCTTCTTCTTCTTCTTCTTCTTCTTCTTCTTCTTCTTCTTCTTCTGTTTCTTCTTCCTTTTCTGATTTTCTTCTTCATTGTTTTATTTATTTTTTTTTCGTTTCTTCTACTTCTTATTTTCCTTTTCTTCTTCTTCGTCTTCTTCGTTTTCTTTCACTTCTTCACTCTTCTCTTCGTTTTCTTCTTCTCCCTTTCCCCCTCCTCCAGCTCCTTCTCGCCCTCCTCCTCATTCTCTAATATTTCGTGTTTTACCCAGTCATTGGCGATCCCGCGTGATGTAACATCTGAACACAGTTTATGGTCAGATCTTTACGCCATAAATACTCTCAGATGCAAGGAGCCATTTACGACATTGACTGGACGCTGGCCTGAAACAGTTCATATGGTGTTAGTAGCCTAAAATTTTCCTCAATGAAAAACAATTGGACTGCTTAAAAGCTGTCCAGGAGTCACTGGCTAGTTAAGGCTTTTAAAAAATGTGGGGTGGAAAAAAAGGGGGGGGGGGGGGGGGGAATGGTTAAACTAATACAATTTAAGAAAAATCGTCTTTACATGGAGCCGCCGTGGTGTAGTGGCTAGATGCTCGCTTGCGGATCTGAAGATCGTGGGTTCAAGTCCTGAAGGAGACTGAGATTTTTTTTTTTTTCAAAAAGGACTTTGACTTCCATGTCGACGTAGTCCTAAATGGGTACTATGTAAATTCCTTGATCACATCTCTTACCGAATTCCGATTGGTCTATAAGAGACGGGTCTAGCCCTATACGCATAATACGCCAAAAGGCGCGGAAAAAGGTCCTTTGTTTCGAATGTCTGGGTCGATCCACTCTGGTAAAGTTGCAAGCGGATGAACTACTTCCCAAGCAATGGTTGCCAGGGTGACGAGATCGTCAACAACACACATAACCCACGTGATCACGTGCATCTGCTGTGTGGTTTGGGCGGGGCGACGATCAAATTTCACTTCTGCTAAACAACACACACACATACACACACACACACACCCACACACACACACACACACACACACACACACACATAAACACAAATGCACAACTGCAGCTATGTTGTACGAGCAGAGTACCAATCTGAGACAAACAAGTTAATTAGGTCGCCCTGAGTTGTGGGGATGTGTCCACGCCCATACCTGGGGAAAATCCGGGTTCTTGCTCAAAGTTGACCTAATGTCTGTCACGCATCTCATGTCCCGGGTCATTTTTGCGTGTCCTTCACCCCTGAATATGTATGTATGTGGTTCAACGTTGTGTGGTCGGGGTCACTCTAACGCCAGCATCAGTTTGTCTTCTTCTTATTTTTCGCAAACTCTGGCGGAAAGTTTTAGTTGTTTATCCACTTCTGGACTCTAGACCTGTTTCAGAACCCGAGTTTTGCGTGTGCATCCGTTTCACAGGTTTGACTCATTTGCATGCAGACTGTTGGTTCCCTGCCTCTCAGGCAGATGTACTCCGACTTTGAAGTAAGCTCCCAATTAGTCGACTCTTGCGACATACTTGTTGGCAGGCAGTGGGTCCATTCTTGTTCTCCCCCACCACGGGGTCCCAGAACCCACACAAGGAATCAATCATTTTGTTTCGCACTCTCTTCATTTCCCATCCTCTCTTTTTGTCTCATTCTGTTCTTCTCTTTGTCATTATCTCTTTCTATATTTCCTTCCTTCTGTCTCGCCCCCGCCCCCCTCTCGTTTTCTCTCGTTTTCTCTCGTTCTCTCTCTCTCTCTCTCTCTCTCTCTCTCTCTCTCTCTCTCTGTGTGTGTGTGTGTGTGTGTGTGTGTCTACTTTACTACTCTCTGTCCATAAGTCCTTCCCTCAATGTTATCCTCCATCTGCCTGGTTTCCCACTTTCTGCCTCTTCTCTGTTAATCTCGTTTGTATTGTATCTATCCAAGTCTATCCTTCCACTGGTCTACTCTTCTTCTTATTTTAGTTCGCGTTCTGCGAGTGTAAACTCTGATTGAAATTTCTGCTTGTTCTTCCCTTTCTGGACCTAGGTCTTGTTCCAGAACTCGACTTTTGCATGCTGATCCGTTTTACAGATTTAGGTTATTTGTGCACAGTCTGTTACCTCCTCGCCTCTCAGGGCAGAGGTACTCCTTGAAAGGAAACATCCCTGATTGGTCACGGACTTTTACAACATGTTTGTTAGTAGAAGGGCAGTGTGTCTGTTCTCTCCTTACTCCCCAGTAGGACCTGGGAACCCAAGCCACACGGGTGTCGCATTCTACAAAGCAAACGCTCAAGCAGGCCAATTCATATAAGTTTACTCAGGCACCAAAATGTTGAAATGGTGACAAGAGGGTGAAAAAAAAGGGGGAGGGGGTGTTTGTCATGGTAAAGAGCCGCCGAGCCTCAGGATTAAATTTTTGTTTTTTTGGGTATGTTTTTTAACTAGCTTTATTTGTCTGTTTTTACAATGGTCCGCTGTCAGCTTGCTAGGCTTCTGCAGGCCGGATCCTGTCCCCGGGCCGCCACTTACATAGTCCTGTACCAAAGGCTCATGCTGGAATTTTGGCTACAGCAAGCAGCTCACATGGCAAGACTGAAGAACACAGCAACAGTCGCTCCCGATTACATGCCTGGGTTCAACGCGAAAAGCCCGGAATTAGACAGTGTTGAGATGGCTTGGGATCGAGTTGCCCGCATTTCCAAACAAACGTTTGTGGAGTTTTGAGAAGCTTCAGTTGGACACACACACCCAGATCGTATAGCGCGGCCTCTGGCGGCTCCAGTAATCAGTGGTCGTATTAAAGTGGTTTTATTTTTTGTTTTGTGTGCGTGAGTTGCAGAAGTAAACAGAAACAGTTGTGAGCCACAGACCTGACTGTTTTCTCGGCAATGTCATGAATTTCGGCGGTATATGTTGGCAGGCGTGTGTACATTAACACTGGTCGCGCGGGGGTGTCTGTGGCTTTGAAGTAGAGCTCCAGTCTTCCTTCGTCAAGTACAGGGTTTGAGTCGCTCTGGCAGGTTGGGTTATTCCTGAATAAACCCGGCGAGGACAGGAATGAACAGACAGAGGACGGGGGGGGGGGGGGGATAGGAGGGAACGATAGAAAGAACGAACTTTAGTTTCAAAGGGTTACAAACTGGGCATGCATGCCCGTCTGACATTGGGATGTTTCAAACCTCGTCTTCAAAGTTGGTTAAACCTGACTTTCGCGGCGGCCGGGTGACGAACTCTTTGTGGTCCGGGTTCACTCCCGGGGGTAGGCAGAAAAGCCACATTTCTCCCAGATTAACGGTACCTATAATGGAATCAATGCCGAAGGGTTGCGATATCCATAGTACCGAGCCAAATGGTTTACAACTCATGGTTTCTGGATACGTTAAAAAAAAAAAATACTGTAATAGCTTTTTTTTAATGAAGTATATGATGTTGATATATTTAAATTCATAGTAGGCAAGTAGGTAAGGTAACAGCACAAAAGCATGGGGAGCAGATAAATACTTTCGTATATACACGCAAACATTCACACAGCAAATCAGACGCACAGACAGTTTTCTGTGTTTGTAAGGATACTGAATCACACACAGACTCAGACAGTGTGTATATGTGTGAATGTCTTTATACTGTGTGTGTAAATTCTTGTTTCCTCACAATGGGATCCAGAAACGCCCATCCTATATAATTTGTTATTATTTTCATCAGGATTTTAAAAAAAATTATGTTTTACCTGTATAATCTAGATATTTCTAGATGTTCTTTGTTTCCTTTCTAGATGTTTTCTTTTTAAAAAAATGGCGACTATGGTCTTAATGTTTCTGTTTACAGAGCGCAGCCCGCCGGGCGGGAACCACGTGTGCCAACTGCGGTACCGGCACCACGACTCTGTGGAGGAGAAACCCTAACGGTGACCCAGTTTGTAACGCCTGTGGGTTGTATTACAAGTTACACAACGTGAGTACATTCTGTCTGTCTGTACAGTTGTAATTATACCTCCAATCGCTCTCTCTCTCTCTCTCTCTCTCTCCCTGTCTGTCTCTCTCTCTGTATGTGTGCTTGTGTGTGTGTTCATTTATCTTTTCTGTTATGTTTCTCTTTTCTTCTCTCTCTCTCTGTCTATCTGTTTCACTCTCTGCCTCTCTCATCCCCCTCTGTCTCTCTGACTATCGCTCCGTGTTTGTATATCAGTTTCGCTGTTTATCTATATGTGTGTCTACGTGTGTCTCTGCTTCTCTGTCTCTTTCTCTGTCTAGCTTTCTTTGTACCTCTATCTCTGTCTTTATCACCCTCCCCCCCCCCTCATCTCTTTCTCTCTCTCTCGGTCGCTTACGTGTGTGCACAGCACATAAAATTATGGAACAGATGAGGTTATCCTAACTCTGGGCACGAAACCTCACTAGTCACCATGTAAGCAGTGCATGCCTACTTCTTCCCCTCCCCCTCTCCCCTTCTCTCTCAATTTCCCTTTTCGCTGTCTCTATCTCTTCCTCTAACTTTCTCTAACTGCCTCCCCTACATCTATCTATGTCCTTCTCTCTCTCTCTGTATGTTTCCCTCACTTAATCTCTGTCTATCTCTTTCTCTACCTCTCTCACCTACCTCCCCCGCCCCCCCCCCTCTCTCTCTCTCTCTCTCTCCCTCTCTCTCTCCCTCTCTCTCTCTCTCTCTCTCTCGTAAAGAAGCGAAGTGGCAGAAAGACGTTAGGATAGCTTACTGTGTCAATCTGAGAATGTGCGACTGCTGTTGGAAAACTTCATGGAATAGTTGGTCACTTTTCCCTGGCGCGCTCAGCCAAAGGCGAGATGCCCGGTCACAATGTCCGAAGATCATAAGACTGGACACAACAGATAACGGTCATCTCGCCAAGAGGCGGTGTCTAGTCACATCTCTATCTCCCATCTGTTGTTTAAATGTCCCACCTCAGGCGACTGGACAATGCTGATACTAGAGTGTCCTACTGGCCTAAATGAAGCAGATAGCCATCAGTGGACCTGTCAGATAGAGCTCTAATTAGGTCAGTCACCGGCACAGGTTTCGGTCTGTCCTCACCTACCTGGCCTTAACAACGTAGGACAATTGATTCCACATAGATGAAATCCGCAGTTACATCACTGTGACACCTGTCTTCCACGGTAGTTCTAAAAAAGGCATGTCATTATTGCAGCGGTCACATGTATGACACAGTCTGTACCGCTCTCTTCTATCTCGCGCCATTATCTGACTCGTTACGTCTGCTAGTCACATTTGGAACCCTGCGCGAGGGGACAGAAGCGCGGGAAGTTCAGTGTCGACACTGTTGTGTGCACCTTTTTGTCAGGGTTGCCATATTGGCATTTTTGATGCAAGATTCCACAAATTTTGCATATTCGAAATTACGGGGTAGTGTAATTGGACCCAGGAACCTAAACGGGGAGATGTTATCAACGACTCTAAGCGTATCTATGGTGTTGTTTACTTGGTGGGCTCTGTTCACAAACAACTTATTTCCTTCTATTCAGGGATCTGACCCGCTGACACGTGTTACTAGTCCTCGTGTCATCACCTCATCTGACGCCTCGACCACACCTCGCTAGGGCTCCAGCTCCCATGACAAGAACAACAATCAACATTTACATGATGTTCTTGTCACTGGATTTGTTCCAGAATACAAACAACATCATCCAGAGCTCAGATGCTCCTAAAGGCTCAACTGTTTTCATTGTCTCGTCTGACGTCTCTAAGACAACACTTGGCGTGTTCAAGTTAGGACTGGGGGATTACAGTTAACCCTGTTGGACACTGTCCACCTTTTGTCCCAAGCAAAATCTATTTGCTCAGGTTTATTCATTAACAGATTTGTCAAGATTCCAAAGAAAGAAACTCAATTTGGGCGTTTCATGTTTCCTAGAAAAGATATCAATATTGATTTTTCTACCTGAGCCTAACTGGAGAGACAGTTACTGTCAGCCTCACCTCCCAGGTGTATGGTACAATGGGCCATTGCCTCTCTCTAGCCGGTTGAGCGACACTCTAACCCTGCCTAGGGTCTTATCCTTCACCTTTGATGTGTCTGTTTGCTTTTATCTAAATCAAAGCCGTCATTTTACCCTGGGCGGAAATTAGCCTCGGTTTGGGCAGCTAAAGTGGTGACATCACAACACCGTGTCTCGCCATCTCATTCCGTCCCGCTGCTCCAAGTATGGACAATTTCACACCCTAAACTCACCTTCGACACCATTTTCAAATCCCTCAGGCCCTAGGGCCTTGTGTTCCAGGCAAATGGGCCTCCATTAGCTAGCGGGTGACATTAATTTCCGTTCTCTTGGATGTGAAATCATTCTAAGTTGCGCTTACCTGGCCACTAGCATGAAGTCATCCTTGGCTGGGCCCTGATGGTATCTCTGAGAGTGTCCACTTGGACAAGTGTTTTCATCCACCGCTGAAAGCCCAGTGTCGTTAGAGAAGCCGCAGGGAGAGCAAGAAGGAGAGAACAACATGGTTAAAGAATGAAACAGAGTAAACGAGCCATGGGCTTTCAACTTGCAGATAGGCACTGATAAAAACAGTGTTGAAGGGAAAATTAATGAAACGACGAGAGAGAGAGAGAGAGAGAGAGAGAGAGAGAGAGAGAGAGAGAGAGAGAGAGAGAGAGAGAGAGAGAGAGAGAGAGAAACCGAAAAGAACAGGCAGTAGAAGTCAGGACAGCGAGTAGGTAAGCTGGGGGGGGGGGGGTGGAGTGCACGGAGAATAGAAAGTCACCATGAGACACACAAAAACAGAGATAGAAAGAAAGGAAGTAATACCTCAGATACTGAAAGAGAAAACACTCGTCAGGAGATACATACACCCTCACGTTCACATACACACACGCAGGTTCACATTCATCCCTCCCGCTTCCAGACAGACAGACAGACAGACAGACAGACAGACAGACAGACAGACAGACAGACAGACAGACAGACAGACAGACAGACAGACAGACAGACAGACAGACAGACAGACAGACAGACAGACAGACAGACAGAGCTGTCATGTCACCCTAGATGATTCTGTCCAGAGACTGGCATACAAATTTCTGATATTGTCCCTCAACTCTGAACTCCCTGCCCACTCCTTAGTTCTTGGAAAGATGTTGTGGTAGTTTTCCTTTGCCCTCCGTACACACACAAGAGTTTCACATACGAGACATACTTTGATAGATGTTGGTTCTTGTCACCATTTGATGAAGTTTGTCAGCATGTCTGTTATTCACGACCCACTGTTGAGCAGCAGCAGCATTATTTTTTTTTTAAATTGACACCAACAAGCGAGTGACACCCGGGGACGACTTTAAGTAGATAAGGTAGTTGTACCCCACCAGATCATTACACAAGCGATAAACACTCGGTGACACAAAGTGATGCCATGCGGATGGGGATCACCAGTGGAGAGGTCGTTAAGGACATATTTGTGGCCCGTCTGGGTGGGGCTACAAAAAAAAAAAAAACTTGCATACCACATGGAGACGACTTTCATAGGAACGACTTTATTTCCCACCTAAGAGAGGTACACACACACGAGAGGGTCTGCGGGAGACGATTAGATTCCCCAGTTGAGAAAGGGACAAACACGGGGTGGATCTCATGAGACGACAAGATTGCCGAGCTGAGGATTTTTAGGTGACAAGTGGATTGACCAGTAAGAAAAGGGCAAAGCACATTGTTGTGTCTCGACATCCTCCCATAAGCCCTCGTGTGTTATGTAGAAACGATAGAAGAGTATCTCCCCCTGACTCTTTGACAACTCTGTGATCTCCCATTGTTGGAACATCAAAGCCATTCCCGCCCACATGATACGTCAGATACTGTAGACCGTGCCCGCGGTTGTCCTAAACTACCATCATATTCTTCCACATTCAAAGGCACAAGCCGACAACCCACACACAGAGACGTACCCAGGGAATTGGGCCAGCCCGGAGACTGGTCATCGACGGGGACTTAGAGACCTGCTAGTGAGAAGACTCCAGATATCTTGTCGCAACCCGACAGTCTGCGCATGGTAGCATCAGAAACGGGCGAAATGTGGGGATTTTCAAGTATCCAGAAACCATGAGTTGTAAACCCTTTGGCTCGCTACTATGAATATCACAAGCCTTGGACCTCGATTCCATGATAGATACTGTAAATCTGGGAATAATGTGGCTTTTCTGCCTAACCCAGGCGTGACCCCGGACCACCAGAAGTTCGTCACACGGTCGCCTCGTAGAGGGTTTTAACCAACCCTACGGTGGGGATTGTGTATGTGTGTATGCGCGCGCGCGCATGTGTGTGTCTGTGTCTGTGTGTGTGGGTGATAGGGTGGTAGGTGAAAAGTGGAGGAGAATCTGAAACCTATACCTCCACTAATGCACGTGACTTGGGAGAATGACGGTGTCCATACAGTGGCGATGCACTGTCAGTTCATATGCAAGCGTTAGCAGGTATTGATTACACTATCGCGTGATATTTTCCTTATCGTCGCTTCGATGTTGAGAATATGCCTGTGCAGTTAGCATTATAGTACTCGTAACTTGTAGCTTTCATCCGTTACAGGTTTTACATGACTGGCAACTAGCGTTCTTTTTCGCTATGTTGGAGACGTAAAGAGAGTGGCGTATTTGTAATAGCAGTAAGCAGTGATAAGAAAAAAATAATGCACATTTCTTCTGGAATAGAAATTGTAATCGGCGACTGGAGCCGTTTCATAGACTTCTGGACACTGGTCCCATGTTCCTACTCTCCGTTGCTTAGACCGGAGTGGGTTTGTTCCAGAACACGAGTGGTACGTGCAAATCCATTCCACACATCTGGCTTATTTGTGTGCAGCTTTTTGGTTCCCCGCCTCTCAGGCACATGCACTCCGACTTTGAAGAATGTCCCCAATTAGTCGACTCCGACCACATGCTTGTTAATCAACATTAGGGGCCT